GGCTGTCAAATTCCATTACTAACAATCCCTTTCCCCCCAGTAAAAGGTATTATTAATTATAACCATTATGGAGAACATACAAGTAATATTAGACTTACCCATATTCTTATTTTGAAACGGCTTTAAAAAAAGGAGATTCTCAGTTTCAAAAGATAGTTCTGAATTCGGTTGTTTTACATGATATCTTCGCCAGTTTGATGACAGATGTGATAATTATTTATGCAATAGATAGGGTTTAGTCGTATGTTGGTCTTAACTTTGTTTTAAAATTGTTTTATTTAAGAAGTATCTTGTTATCATCATCCTTTAATATTAATAAAAATTACAGGTGATTAAGATTTTTTTGGAAACACAACCCTTTTCTTTACGTTGTTATTTACATTCTGTATTGTAAATTTTTAATGTAATAAATTTCAAATCGTGTTAAAAATAATGGGATATTTTATAATTTGTTGCTGACATAAAGCTATTTAAAAGCGGGTTAATATTAAAACTACTAACTGAAAACTAGTAACAACCATATTCAAGCGGATTTAAGGGCAACTATTAATACAAGTAGGTACATTATCAAAAATGAACTGCTTAATAAAAATTTTCGTTAACTAGTAAAAATTCTAACGATACCCCGTATATTCAAACCTATTCAGCTATTTATAAGTTATGGTAAAGTGACGTTATATATATGAATTCTAAAACATTACACTTCTTTTTTGGGTAGTCGGGAAAACAAGGAACACCTCGATTCGATTCTATCAGATCAGTTCGATTGTTACACCATACCTCTGTGTTACATCATATAAGTAGGTCATCATTTGTCAAATCAACTCACGTACTGCTTTCTGGTGCTCAGTTAATCCCTCTATGTCTCTCTTAAATTAAATTAAATATTGCTAATATTACGTTTTAATAGCAAAGCTAATAGTCAGTTTTTGTAGCTGATATCTCATTTACTAATTACAAAAAAAAAAATGTTACCGAAAATTGATTTATTTTATTCTTATCAGCAAAGTTATATTTTCATGAACAGAAAATCCATTAGATTTTTACGAGCCATTTTATAAAATAAATATACTTCACCTACTTATTAAGACGCGCCCTTATTGGGACTATAATAATATACTTAGGTAATACTAAGTAAATTTTGTTATTATTACCACTACGTTTTTGTGGAACTAGAAAATTATTTGAAAAATATTTTCCTTATAGATTGCGTTTAATAATGTTTATAATAAAAATGGCATAGTGTTTTGGCAACATTAATGATTTTTAAGCAATTTACAAGTGGAAAAGATTTTCAATTTATCTTTATCTTTTATTTGTTATATGATTACGATGCTAATTCTGATTAAAAATCGATAATTGCATTTTCATTCTATGTGGATTCAATTTTCATTATAGATTTCTTTACAATATATATATATATATATATATATATATATATATATATATATATATATATATATATATATATATATATATATATAGACTTCAGTATTTTAAAATAAAAACACACATTGAATTCCAATAATATTAGGCTAACAGTATTTTCTGCATTAAGGCCACGATTTTGAAATACTACTAAATTATAATCGATGCAATATACCATAAACAAAAGTTACGCAATCAAGCTCGTAAACATTTTATTGGGCTTACCAGATAGGTCTATTGTGAATTTCCATAAAGTTGTTACCTATATATCTTTCATACACAACATACATATGTAACCACTGTGATGAAGTGATACATTTATTTACTAATAAAATTAAATTAATATTTGAAAAATATTATAAATATTACTTATAACACCATATTTTCTTAATAATACAAGTAAATATTTAAGTATGTCAGTATGTTAAACTCTATAATATATTCCAAAGTTACGATCGCTCAGATGCCTGAATGCATATTGAAGATCCAATTGTGACTTTTTCCTCTATATACAGACGATATGCTATCTCCATTCTCCCTAACATCATGCGTGTGAAGCACGTCCAATGAGTCAACGTTCGCCATGAGTCCTGTGCATACTAATATTTTGCGCAATTACTATCGGATAGATTGGACCACAATAATCTCAGGCAGTAAATTAAAGTGTTATTAGCAAATATTTATATACTATTAATTATTATTTGAAGTTTATACATAGTGTTTTAGATATTTATCAAAATTAATCTTAAATTCAATGACATAATATCCATTATAATATGGTATTTACCTAGTACCATACCTCGTACGGCTCGCCATTGACAGGGAGTTCACCCTCATACCTTACAGCCTAAATGGTCGCGTACAACGCGGTTTCATAGATGCTTTCTCCCACGAACACTCAGGTTATGGAATGAGCTCCCTGCCGAGGTGTTCCCAAGAGACTACAGCATGGGGTTCTTCAAAAGGTTTCTTCAGGGTCGGCAACGCGCGCGTTATATCTCTGGTATTGCAGACGTTCATAAGCTACGGTAACCGCTTACCATCAGGTGGGCCGTGTGCTTGTTTGCCACCTCAGTGGTATAAAAAAATATGTAAAACGTAACAAATGCCCACTTTATTTCAAATATGTTCCTTGTGTACCAAGTTTCATGAACAATAGTAAAAGCACCAAGATGTAAAAAACAAACAGAAGAATAAATTAACTCACTCTCATATTCGAAATAATAGGTACATATATGGTCAATAGTATCCTGTTTGTTAAAACTTCAGTGATAGAAAATTTTATTGACGTAGTTCCACATGTAGGTAGAAATACATCAGATGTAATATTGAAATCTTAATGGTGTATAAATACATGAACCTCGTTATAGAGGGTAGATAGCAATTTCTCCAGTGTGTGTATTTTTTTAAGAAATTAATGGTTACCATTTACGTTATCTACTTTATTTAAAAAAAAAAAAAGAAAATCTTTGTAATACATTGAAAATATTACCGATCTATTTGAATAGATTTTATTTTAATAATGTATATTTACGTATAAATATTTGACAGAAGCATATACACGCTTCCGCCAAATATCTATATATCATGTTAATCATTAGGACGTTAATAATATATCTACAGGGGTATACCAATTGACATCCGAAAACCACAACTCAGTAATTGGCTAAATTATATTGTCAGTGGCGGATTTACTAATCGATCTCCTTCAAATATGGTTTATATTTCGTATCTACTCTCAAATAAATTTATTCATATTTTCCGATATTTAGTACATTAGATATATATCTAGGCGTTAGAATAGAATAAAATTAATCTTTATTCAAATAGACTTGTTTACAAGCTCTTTTAAATGTCAATTTTTATGATTGTACTGGTGAATTTGGGATGTTGTTTTCTGCTGAGAAGAACCCGCAAGAAACTCAACAATTACTCTTTTTTTATTATTATGTACGAGATAATTTTGTATTTGCAATGGTACGGTACATATAAATAAAAATTAAATTATTTTTATTTTACTTGATACATTATTGTATAGATACTACTTGTGATAGATATTAGTATTAAGTCGGTTGATTTTAATGTTACTGAAACACTAACGCGCTAACTAAGACGCTAGTTGACTAGAAACAATCATGGTTAAATCTTACTGAATTTGCTACACTTAGCTGACTTCATTCTCATTGGTAACCTACCTACGTTAGTCTCAGTGGGTTACCATTCCATTTTTCATGCACTAAAAACTTATTTAACCATTTTTTTTTCTATATAAATGCCACTTTACCTTCTGTAAGGAGTAACTCGGTACCCAGTAGTGGAAAGTTAATGGGCTGTATGATATAACTTTAATATAAAGTTATTTATTTCCAGAATATCCTTGTTCATATTATTATAGTAGATTTAGTGAGTAGTAGTTACATTTGTGTGAGTTAACATCAAAGAGTTACGTTGAACGATTGTTTAGTCTCGTACTTACAATGTAGGATATGATAATGTGGTATACTCATAGCATATGCCAACTTCAAGTACATATTAGTAATTACTAGTATAAGACTGGAAGCTGAAATATACTGACTAAAATAAAAGTAAATTGAAGAAAAGTTATTCAGGTTATTATTAAGTAAAGCACTTAAGCAGAATTTTATTTAATTTTTATACAAGCCCTTCGTGTGAATAAAAAGCCTTGTTAGTGTTATTGCAGTATATGAAAAATACCTGTTTACCAAATTTCCTATATTCCAAATAGACTAAATTCCCGAAGTACCAAATAGGCAATGCTTTATATACGAGTAGGTATATAGCTATTAGCATATTTGCAAAAGATTGAAACTTATATTTTTTTTATACAACTTAGAATGACAAACAAGCTGACGGCCTACCTGATGGAAAGTGGTAACCTATAGACATGAGCAGTACCATGGACATAACAGAGTATACTGTTTCGCCCATGATACCCCCCATGCATTGCCATTCCTGAGGACTCAGGTGTTATTCCTCTGTACCCTGTAAATTCACGCCATATCATATATCGCCATACGCCCTTCAAACCGAAACACAGCCATGCAAACACAACTGCTTCACGGTAGAAACACGAATGCGACAGAGGTACCCATGCAATTGACTTTTGTACAAAGTCTCCCTCTGGTTTATGGGATTATAGATATGTTTTATAAAGGATTAAATTTTTATTAAGCTACCAGTATAGAATAATAATGAGAATTGATTAAATTCTTATTGGTAAAAAATAAAATCTTTACTGTTTACTAATGAGTGTGTAAAAATGAGTGTATTTATTACGTCTTGACGCTTTAATCATTTGTCATTTAGTATATGGACTACGTAAACTTCTTTTTACTGGTTCTGATTAAACTTTTCCACACATAAATACTGAAAAAAAGTAAATAAAAAACAAACAAAAAATCTTGAACCTCCGACCAATCTTTTTGCGCCTGTCACTCTCACGTCTAGCGATACAGACGGTATCGCTAGAGTATGTCGTTTGTGGAAAACTCGTCCTAAATATAGGACGGGATTATTTTAGTAACGTGTGTCGCGCGCGCCGCCGTTGCGATACGAATCTATACATCAGTCTACCGGTCTCGGGGAAACGTTTATTACGACGTTTTAAAACAACGATTAACTGAACTAAGGATAATTACAATGTTGGCCACCGAGCGTAAACTCGTTAACATTTATGTGTAATTAGATAACGGAAAGTTAACAATATGTGATCGATCGTTTATCTTTGTGTTTTTATGATATCAACATGGCTGTGAAAGTATTGGTTCTGTTAGCCATAGTAGCACATGTTTGTGCCGATGATACTCCACTTACTATTGGTTAGTTGGTTTGATGTAATGTTAAATATAAAATGATTTATGTTTCATAAAGCTTTGGCATTATTAATTATATATGTATATTATGTATTTAAATAATGTATATATAATAAATAAAAATACAGGCGGCATACTTATAAAATATGTACTAAAAACACTATTTTTATAGAATAATAAGTTCTAGCAATAACGACTTCTTACATAGATAATACGTAAAATTTACTGATTACAAAAATTAAATTATTAAAAAAATTAACAACACTATTTCTTCTGCATCATTAGATCGAAATTTTTTTTTTAAATAATACTTAAAGTATTTTGTAGGTGGTTTATTTTACAAAGATGCTGAAGATCTCAAAATTGCATTTACAAAAAGTGCAGAACAATTTAATTTCACGGCTTCTATCAAAGAGGTATCGAAAAAAGGGGAAATACTCGATGTTACTAAAAACGTGTGTGAACTCGCCACGGTAAGCATTTTTTTCATTCAGTGTTTAACTGATTAAGAATATATTTATATGCAGTATTAATTGTTGTTTATTTAGTTAGTTAAATATACTGTTTATACATATAATTTTTGCTTTATATTTTTGCAATATTATTATTAAAATTGTTGGATTTTTATATTGTTTCCATTTTTAATGTAATATAAATTTATTAAATATGAACCAACATTTATAATTAAAGCATAGGTAATCCATTTTTAGGAGGGAGTATTAGGAATAATAGATGCTATTGGCGGACGCGCCAGTGAAAACATTCAGACATTATGTGACGTTCTAGAACTACCTCACGTGGTAGTTCAACACAATGATTGGTATTCTAAAAATTGGTCTGTCCTAAATATGTATCCCAGTCCAGAAGCTTATAATACGGTAAGAAAGTTAAAATCATCTAAGTAATCAAATCTGCTCTATTTCTTGAGACCTACAATATGTTTTATATTGCAATTCTTGCTCTGCTCAAGTAGTTTTTTTTTCTTACACTCTTAAAACCATTTTTTGTATTCACTTTGAAATTAAACGTTTCATTTTGTGTAATTTGTGTAATGAGATAAATAAAGATGTTTTTACTAATGCTGCACTACATCAATTATTTATTTAGAATTGTTAAAAGTACATAAAATCCCTAATAGGATATAAATCTTATTATGTTTTGTTATCTTATTAAATTGTTTTTAAGGTCTTACAAGAGTTAGTACAAGAAAAAAACTGGGAGAACTTCACATTATTATATGTGAAAGGTCATAGTTTGATGCGCATGAACAGTTTACTGATGATGGGCAATGTCACAGACCGATACACTGTTAGTGTAAGAGAACTAAGTGGTGATGACTACAGGTCAGTAAATTTCTAATTATATTGAGTTAATACGGGCTCTAAACTTGAGAAGCGCCACTGCTGACCCATTACCGTTATCGTATGAATTGATTATAAGCCAGTGTAACAGTAGTTTTTAAATTATATAGCATCATTTGGTTATAATGACAAATTGTTGTAATTAGTCATTTTGATTTAAAAAAAAAATATTTAGTTCTTTCTGCAATTTCAACATCTGAAGGTTAATATAAGCATTACAGGCTATTTATTCTTTGATATGTGTAATGATGCTTATACCTAGCATACGTAGCATGGTACTGTTTGTATCTACATCCTACGATTACCACTTTCCATTAGGTTGACCGTCATATTTCTAAGTCTGACAAAAAATACTTATAGTTATTTTAAAACTTTTAGCTATTCAGCCTGGAGATTTATTAAACTTGAACAATTTCATAGTAAAATTTACACATTTTTAAGCATATAATTATATATAATTATATTTTACAGAGACGTTCTTATTAATGCCAAACAAAATGGTTACAAAAACTTTGTAGTGGATTGCCCATTGCAATACCTAGAACAACTTCTTCAGCACGCACAACAGGTGGGCTTGATGGCTGATGAACACTCCTACATCTTCTTATCACCAGATTTGTTCACTCTGGATCTCAATAGGTACAGACACGGAGGAGTCAATATGACAGGTTAGTGAATTAAACCAAAACCAACTCAATAAATATTCTTGAGTCTGTAAATTGAACACGTTTCAGTAACTGTTTACCAATATGCGTGTTATAACATATTATAAAAATAACACAGTTGAGTTTATCATTTAGCTTAATTAAATTTAAATAATTTCGTTATTTAACTTAAAGGCTTGTGATTTACTTGTGATTTCTACATATTTTATATCATTTCATTTCAGCCATTATCCGTCCACTGCTGGACATAAGCCTCCCCCATAGACTGCCACAAAGAAAGGTCCTGAGCTACCTGCATCCACTGACTCCCTGCAATGCATTTCAGGTTGTTAGTCCATCTAGTGGGGTGTCGTCCTACACTGCGTTTGCCCGTACGCGGTCGCCACTTAAAAATCTTTCTTCCCCATCGGATGTCGGTTCTTTGAACTATGTGACCAGCCCATTGCCACTTCAGCTTGCTTATTCTTCCTATCCACACAAATTTATTATAATGTTAGTTCTGAACTTTAGTTTTCACTAAAAAAGTTGCTTTAAATGATGACGATACAGCTGTTAACTGTCCACAGCTGAAAATAGACTTTCCCCTTGGAGGGTTTTACCAGTAGTTGCCACGCAGGTTGGCATTTGCAGTTAAGCTTTTAAGCCCAGTTAAGGACGCTGCTTTCCATTTCTCGACCTTTAAATTGTCTTAGTTATTTTCAATGATATTTCTCACTAAATATAGATATTAACTACTATCCAAAAATATTGTCATTATCTCTTTGAGACATATCTAAGCAATTATAAAAATACTTAGGTATGATGCTATCTTTGATCTCTCAGCACTATTCTGAAGAAATAAGATGTCATTCTTCCTGACTCTTTTTTTTTTGCTATCACGTTCTCTCATACGCATTACTGCTTTACGCCAAAATAATATATTTTTTATGTACATCTAGGGAAGTTACACTGAAAATATGGCTCTACCATGAATTATTATTATGAGCCACTAAAGTTTATCAGATGACATTTAGATTCACTTCGTTATATGATTACCAGAGTTATTTGTAGTTTAGGTACTTATAATCATTTATTTGTACACAGGTTTCAGGTTAGTAGATTTACAAAACAATGAACGTTTGTGGCAATTAACAGACATAATCAACAATGGTACTGAGAGAACTCTGGAGTCGGAGGAGTTAAATACTAAAACTTTATTAATTCATGATGCCATTCAAATATTCCATGCGGCTTTAAAAAAAGTTAAAGTTAAAACAGAAGCGCTCAGTTGTGATAATGGTATATCTTGGAGATATGGTTCAACATTACTTAATTTTATGCAAACTGTAAGTAACAATAAGCATACAAAAAATATTTCTATTGATTGAGTTAAATCTAATTCATAAAAACTAAAAATCTATTAGTGTTTTGTACGTTATACTACATCTCATCTTTCAAATTGAGAAGTTAAAATAAAAGAATAAAACAATGCTTCAATAGTTAAAATAAGTTTAAATGTTCAATATTTATGAAAGGACGTTAACACTAGCATCCTTTTAAGCGAAGGAATTCTGGGAGAGGAAGGAATAAACTTCTCATTTTACCAAAGAAACATAAGAGTCGAAGAATACAAAACATTTTTAATCTTGACATGCTTCTAATATAATTATTTGCTTTTTTCAGAACAAAGTTGAGGGTATAACGAGGACGTTACTATTTGATGGTTTTGGTCAAAGAAATAATGTTACTTTTGATATATTAGAACTAACTCCAGCCGGTAACCAAACGGTAAAAATTCATTTTTTATAAAAATGGTATTTTAACGATTTAAAAAAGATAGAGGTTTTCAATTCGATTGTATTTTTTTTATATTTGTTACCTAGTAACTCCGTCAAATCTAAAGCAATTTGGAAAATTCATTTTTATCTCAAAGGATATACTAATAATTTTTATTTCGGACTCTTTAGTCTATTAATATTTATCAGTAACAATGTTCTTAAAGCTAATATTTGTAAATTTACACACACATACACATATATTCATGCAGTAAACAAACAATCACCGGTATATAAATTGGTCTCATAGACATTTTGTCAAAATCAGTTTAGTGGTTTAGTTTTAAAAACAAAATTACTGGTTTTGTTACATGGAAGTCTCATCTCCCTAATACTGCTTGATAACTTGAACTCCATTACTTTACCGAAAAATTTTTTTGCATTTTATCTAAGTTATATAATGCACGTTGCATTTTTAAAGAAAGACAATCCAAAAATGTTTGCTTTGGCACATAAAAATAAATAAAATATGTAATTATTAGATTTGAATCTGTGATTTAGTTATGTTGAACATACATTGCGGCATTGTGTTATGAACACTCTAAAGTTGTAGACACGAATCTGTTAGAATTTTGTATATATTATATATTTATTACTGACGGATGTTTTTTATATATTAAGGTCGGGAAATGGAATTCCAACGGATTGGTTATAGAAAGACCCTTTGTACCTAATGCTGAGATTGGTATAGAGTCAGCAATGAGAAACAAATCTATAAAGGTGTTGATTTCAAAGGTATTATTTGAATTTATTTGACACTCACAAGTAATAAATGCGACTTTATTTCACAGTGTGATGAATTTTAATTAAAATTTGAAAAATTAGAAGCGAAGTGACTCTAAGAAAATTAAATGTAACGTATTTTTTATTTATTGCTTTTAATGAACCTTTAATATCGTCTGTGTTTTTTTAGATATTTTATAATAAATAAATACTAATTAAATGTTCTAGACACAACCATTTACATATATAAAGTATACATCAGAGACATTAGAAGGAAATGATCGATTTGAAGGATTTGCAGTAGACTTAATTGAATATTTGTCAAGAATATTAGGTTTCAGTTACGAGTTTGAATTAGAGACTGATTATGGTTCTATAAATAAAGAAACAGGAAAATGGACTGGGATGGTACTGAAACTTAGAGATGAGGTATGTATCTAGGGAAGTCATTCTTAAAAGCGTTTATACCAAAATTTCACTTTGATAGAAGTGAAATCCTGGACCTATTTGTAAATTCTAGAAAACAATTGACCAAATATTAATATTTTAGATTGACTATTCAAAAATGCTCTGATAGCGAACAAAAATATTAATCATAGAATTACATTTACCACGACAAATTTTACATCTACTTTATATTTTACTTGTCGTAATTGTCAAATATATTTTTTTTTAATTCAAAATAAAACTTTCCTGCTAACAGCTTAGTAAGAATCTTATTACATGACTATGTATTCGTGTTGCAGATGTAACTGTTTACCATCAGATGGTTTATGTGGCAAACAAGCCACATTCGTGGTATAAATAAATATTTAATAGTTATTATAACACACACACACACACACATATACATAAAAAAGCAGTGAATGGTATTTTAATTTATTTTAAATACTAGATAAGAATAGCGATATAAACCATTTAGATTTTCGTTTGATTTGTTTTAACAAACTGTTCATTTAAATTGCCATCGTATAAAAAAATTGCCTACTCAACTAATTTTTTTTTATAATAATTTTTCAGAGAGCTGATTTAGCAATTTGTGACTTAACGATCACAACACAGAGACTGAGTGGCATAGACTTTTCAACACCTTTTATGACATTAGGTATTAGTATAATTTTCAAGGAACCAAGAAAGCAACCACCAGAAATGTTTTCGTTTATGGCTGTGTTTTCAAAAGAGGTATATAATGTTAAACTTTAAACAAATAGATTACCATTAAAGTTATTTTTTGAACATACCTACCAGTATTGTAGAAAATACTCAAAATATTTGTATGTAAATTTAAGTTTATATCATAATCCTTACTAATATATAAATGTGAAAGTGGGTTTATTTGCCTCACCGTTTGTTTACCTTATAACACCTGAACAGCTATTACTAATTACAATTTATGAAAAACATTACCTTAGACTTGCTTTCCTCAAGCATATTATAAATCCAAAGTAACAAGCGGCAAGCCTACCATCATCATTTGAATTTATTTGGTTTATTGTCGAGTTTTTTGTGATTACAGAGTTAGATATATTATTAAATATGTATATTAATAATGTAAATAAGGTATATTTAATTAATAATAACTTTTAAATATTTTTAGGTCTGGTATTACATGACATTGATACAACTTCTGCTAGGATTTCTCATGATCTTCGTGGGTCGTATTTCACACAAGGAATGGCAAAATCCCGTACCCTGTATAGAACAACCAGAAGAGTTGACCAATCAATTTAGTTTTGCCAATTCAGTCTGGCTTATTATCGGCTCTGTTATGCAGCAAGGGTCAGAAATTGCACCTATGTAAGTCACACGTACCTAATAATATGATATTCAAATATTATAACTCATAGTATGCTGGCCCTTCTTTGTTATACTTTCTTAAAACTGTTCTACTATCTAAATATACTGGTAATTTTGTATTCAACATTGAACCTCTCTTAGATGGCGTATCAAGATAAATCAGTATTTAAATCGGACCTTCAGGAAAACAACTGTTGAAACTGCACCCAAATTGTCGCTCCATTTAGTAAAGACTCATTCCATAACTCATGTACTCGTATCTATACCATGTACTATTTGTCCGTATGGCTGTATGAATTACACACATGATAATAATATAGTTTATATCTATATATATATTTTTTTTTATTTTCAGAGCTTTAGCACCTAGAATGATTACTAGTGTATGGTGGTTCTTTACAATGATCATGGTGGCTTCATACGTAGGAACTTTGGTAGCCTTCCTAACAGTTGAAAAAGATGTTATGCCATTTGAAAACGTTGAGCAACTAGCAGATCATAAATCCTTTTCTTATGGTGCGAAGAACGGAGGAACTACTTTGCAATTTTTTGAGGTTCGACATTTTATATTTTAAAACCTCTAGAACAAAGAGACGTATTACAATTTTATTATCATGAAATATATTTCATTAATTGAGTCGTCAATATAATATAATTATTGATTATGAAATCTAAGAAAAGTGTCAAAAACTTCCTTTTCTCTTAGGGCACACAGATGATTAAAAATTACCAATATTATTATAATATTTGGATACATTCGCATTACTTTATAAGATTGTGTCATTTTTCAGAAATCATCAAATCCAGTATTTCGAAAAATGCATCAAAAAATGATTTCAAAACAATGGTTAGTGGCAGACAATGACTTAGGTGTAGCTCTGTAAGTATATTTTATTAAAAAATTTAGGTATTAATTTGTCTAGAACTAATGTTTATACATGAAATAATTTATGAGAATAAATCAAACAAGAAATCTATATATTTCACGGTCCTCATAATATTCTCGTATCTTATAATTATATTACACTTTAGTATTGAGATAAAAATTGTTTTATATAGAAATCGTTTGTATGACTGTCTATATTCTACACTTGCATTTATAAACATGTATCTGTCTACATATGTTACGGTTTGATGGAATATGGGGATAGGATGTAATATAATTAGGATATGGAAATGAAAATAGGTATATATAGAATTTATTGGAAATTTACTTAATAAATATAGTGATATTATGCCTCATGTAGATGCTAAACTTTTGGAAACCTCAAGAACAAAGTGAGGAATATCATGGGTTATCCTCCTAATATAATGGTAATTTTCCTACTCATTCATTCTTTAATGGTAATATATTTTACAGACGCTCTATCGTTGTATTTTTTTAACTTTTCTTATTAACATTCATTTTATAATTATCGAAAATAAAGTATATTTCGTCGTTGTACTATTTAGTATCTATTTATCATTATGACCATTTCGTTAATTTAACTCTGAGACTATTAATATTCCTCTAGATTTTATACTTTCACGTTGAGTAACTTATCAAAATAAATATTTTTTACTTATGCTAACATCTTTATTAGAAATAAACAATTGTTTTAGTGCAGAAAGTTCATCTTACGCTTTCTTTATGGAGTCTACGTCAATTGAATATTATAAAGAGAGACATTGCGATTTAGTACAATTTGGAGAGTTGCTGGACTCGAAAAGTTACGGCATTGGAATGAAAAAGGGTAAGTTTTGCATAAAAAGGTAATAAGTCTGTCTAGAATAAATTATTCAGTAATATGAATAAATGCTTTGTATTATTAGGATCACCGTACAAGAAATACATAGATGATGCATTACTACAGCTTAAAGAAAAGGGCGAGATACAAAAACTGAAGGATATTTGGTGGAAAGAAAAAAGAGGAGGAGGAAAATGTGGAGTAAGAGATATATATTTTTTTATTTTATACAGGTACCTAGGACAATCATACATGCGGATTACCTGATGGTTAGTGAGTATCCGCAATACTAGAAGAATTCCAGGTGTCTTGCAAGTTATTTAGGACTGATTCTACTTAATCAAGCTTTAAATATCATCTTCATATTATATCATTATAATAACCCGAATCGTTAAGTATCTTGAATTAGTTTTACAGTTTTTAGCAGACAGTAAAGTTCAAATACTTTTTTTTTTAAGTAACATTCTTATTATTCTTTTATAATAGCAACATAATTACATACCAATGAAAACGAATTAAGTAGAGTTAATTTTGTAATAGATGTGATAAAAAAGATTTAATCACAATTTGTTGCTATGTATATTTTATGTATTGCAGGAAAAAGTAAATAAAGAAGAAAAACAGCTTAGTATGAAAAACATGCTGGGCGCATTCGTAGTGCTTGGTGTGGGGTGTTGTATTGGTTTACTTATATCCACCCTTGATATGCTCTGGGCAGTTTTCAAGCGTTCCGTCAAATATAACGTATGTTTCACTTATATAAAACAATAATTTTGAGTAATTTAAATTATTTTAACTTCTTTATATTCGCTTTCTTCTTTTACTTTTATTGTTTAATTCTTTTAATTTCTAAATTAAATTGAAAACATCTTGCGACTGTGTTTTATAATATTTTAAATAATAATTAGGATAATAACTAATGTTTTTACCACAAAAAAAAAACTTCTATAGTATCGACAAAATTTGTTTTGGATTAACACAGAAATATGAATCATCAGTCATCGAAACCATTTCTAAGTTGCAAAGATATTTCTTTGCATACATTCAAACTACATATCAACACTTATTTCTTTTTAATTGTATTGATCCATAATATATTTTGTTTGAAAATTTTAAAATAAAATAGATTATAATTAATCAAATTTGAAACAAATATATAATACATTTAAGTACTATTTTAATTCACAGACCACATTTAAAGAAGAGCTTATAGAAGAATTGAAGTTCGCTCTCAAATTCAGCGGCGACGTGAAACCGGTTAAAAGACCGACGAAGTCAGATGAAGGCAGCGCCGAGGCATTAGCTGAAGTCGAAAAGAAAGATGAAGTCAGATCACTGCGATCGATACGTTCAGGTCGATCCACGTCTACTCGAATGACCTGTCACTCTCATAGTTCCAGACATTCTTCAGGAGGACTTAGTATTGCTTTTGCAAAGAGGAGAGATTATTCCTAATAAATATTCCTAATATAAGTCTTACTACACACATAAAACAACGCACTAAAATAGAATAGTATACTATAATTAATTGATGTTATTATAGTTAATTGGTTTTCTAACAATTTATAAGTATTATATTAAGAAGCAACTGAGAGAGATTTATGGTATGATTAATCTTCGTAAAGTTTAATTAAACTTTAAGTTCTACTAATTGTTGTAGTTATTATTACATAATCATTTTATTACCTAATAAAACTAGTAAAGTAGCTGAAATTTTAAATATTATTAAGACTCTTATTAAAAAGGGAGGGTTACTACAATTTTTTATGCCGGTAAGATTCTAAGATTTAAAACTGGTAGAGTCAGTGTTCAATTATCGTAATTATTATTAATTAGTGTTAAATTAACGTACCTACGTAAAGTACCTACGTGGTTATTATTTTTATTTAGGTTCTTATTATACTCGTAACTAACGACTCAGTAGTTTTATAAGGACCCCTTTATTGCACATCATAACCTAAATTACAATGGTTACAAATAGAGGCAGCTATTACCGTATATATACCGTTTTCTTCTGAGCTAAATAACGACTAGTCCCGTTATGTCATTGCCTCTAGATATTATTTATGATTATGGTCAAGCGAAATGACGAGATAAAATTAGATCATACACAATATAAATTATACGGCAACAGTAACAGTAGTAATTAAGTTATACATTTATATTTTGTTTTATAAATACTTGACTTACCATTTAAAAGCGGAAAATTCTTTTATACAATAATGTAACTAAATATCTATATTACGTAAATAAATTATTCTCTTTATTATTAAAAAATAATACTGAAATTGTTTATCTTATTAGCCAGATTCGAAATTCCTTGCGTTCAGAAATGGGTTAAGGTGACGATACTATTATATTGTAAAGGGTTTTTATAAAGGGTCTTTGAATATTGGTTACTCGAGTAGGTAAAAGGTCTATGAACACGCAAGATTTTGATACATAACTCCATTATATCAGCGTTAGAAGTGGACACCGCCCGTAGTGACTGCGGTCTTTCAGGGTGCTTCCATTAACCAAACAAATTGCTTACAAAACTTGTAACTTTTAGCACCCCACAGTGACTTATGGATGTTTACTAATATCTAGCCGTAAACATAACCTAGTTAACTTAATATTGTACAAAATAAACTCAGTCTTGCTTTTTATTCTAGATCTGATTTATTACACATTTTTCCAATAAAGGAATCGAGAAATAAGGTGGCACGGTCTAGTAGAGAATGATAAAGAGTTAGTTACCTATAGACGTAAATAATATCTCAGGATCAATTTTTTTATTATCCATTTTATTTATATAATTAGTAAAAATTATATATTTTTTATTATATATAATATTTTATTATTTTGTTATGTAATAAATCAAAGTCTGTCTTTTAATATTAAAATAATGCTGATAATTTTGCACAAGAACATTATTTACAACTTGATAAAATAACAAAGAAAATAAAATAATATTTTAATAATCAATGAATAATTAAATTTTTACATATCCGAAAATAGTCAGTGATACCAGAATTCTATCTTCATTTGAATTACTAGCGATGGAATCAGTATTCAAACAAATAAATATCATAAGATTATCACTAATTGATTTTCAATATTAATTAAAATCTGGTTTTATAAACTACAAGTCGGTTTTACTAGATGCCTATGTGAACTTAATTTATCATTTTCATAGAAAATTGGCCTCTCACTCTATATCTACGTGGATAACTATTTCAGTGTAGGAATGACCCCAGAGTCAGTTCGCAGCGTACTCAATCAAAGGGGCTTCGTTACACCCTCTTCACTCTAGACACATTGGGTGGTGACAAGCCGCATTTCTCAGGGCTGTACTAATTAACTGTCTGACACGTGTTATGAGAGAATTAGTTACAACAAATAGATCGGGGAGGATATTTAAAAAATAAAGTGCAATGAAAATAAAAACATTAAAAAAACGTGAAGGTATGTATAATAATTTATTACGTATTTAAAATTATATATTATTAAGGTATGTTTCATTTCAAAATCTATAAATCAATAAAAAAAATTATATACAGAAAAATAATTTTAAACTGTTAGTACGAAATTCGCGGGATCACCTAGTATTTATATATTACTATGTATTGCTTACCTCTAATAATTATAGATTATTATCTTAAAGATGTTATGCTTAATTCATAAAATTAATAAAAAAAAATAATATTTACACTCTACTAAATTTTCGCATTTTGGCCATTTGCACTGCATTACTTTGCCTTCTGCTGTGTAAAGTGTGATGTGAATGTGTAGACCTCTCTGACCGCGGAGTCGGCGCCCGGTCTCGATTTGCGTCTGCTTCTTTATTTGATTCCATATCATCTCCATTTTCTTCTTTTTTGGAACCCCCAGAGCAACTACTAGATTTTTCTGGATGTCGTACCGGCTTGACATCACCGCTAAAACTCAGTATGAATTTTAACTCCGCTATTAGCTCTTCTTTAAAAGGTACCTAGAAATATAGGTAAGTAAATTATTTGTTGCGGGTTACGGTATGGTCCCGGTATAGAATGGGCCACCCCTTCCTTTCCCATAGGTGACTAAGAGAGCTTATTAGTCGAGTTAAGATTAACTGCGGTTGTCAACCAACCTGCCAAGCGTGACAACTATTGGTAAACCTCCCTTTATGAATGGAGGCCTATATTCAACAAGAGATAGTTAACAGCTGATGTGAGGATGTGATGAAAAAACAATGGAATATTAATAATTAAACCTTTGTTCTATTAAAAATACTAAATATATAGTAGTAATAATTTATAGTAATAATATTTACTTTCTCAGACTGTACAAAATGGTCTACTTGGGCACACCTGTCCCACTCGTGATTCTGTTATGATGCAACTTTTACTAGAGGGAGACTTTGTACAAAAGTCATTTGCTTGGGCACCTCTGTCCCATTAAAGTTTCTATCGAGAAGCAGTTGTGTTTGCATGGCTGTGTTTCGATTTGAAGGGTGGGATATGGCAGTGAATTTATAGGGTATAGAGGAATAACACCTGTGTCCTCAGGAATGGCAATGCATATAAGGTATTATGGGTGAAACGGTATACTCGGGGGGAATGGAATTGTCAGTAATAAGATTTAACTGCCTTATTGTTAGCAATATACCCTATCAGATCGACCTCCACGCGGTTCCCCTGGAAACCATAGTGGTTCACCACTATGGTTTACTTGTTCAATTGGTCACTATGGGCCAACTGACCTGCCTTCATCCTCACCTGTCACCCTTCACTGGTGCCCCGCCAGCATATACCGATAGCGCGGGCGGGGTTACTATTTCATCTTTACCCATTACAAAAAAATAAACGGTATACTCTGTTATGTACTCTGACGGTTACCACTTTCAATTAGGTGAGCCTGACACCTCAGTTTTTTTAAAAAAAGCTTTGCTCACATAAGTGTAAATCGATTTGAAAGGTAAGATATAATAGTGAAATTTCAGAGTACGGGATATAATACTATAATTCTCAGTAACGGCAATGCACGACATGGCATCACGGTATATTCTCTTATGTGTAAGATGCTACCTTAATAGTTATCACTTTCAATCAGGTAGGCTGAAGGCTTGTTTGCCATTTTAAATAACTCAACTTCATATAAGTAAAAGGCATAAGTCCAAATCTGACCAACACACAGACAAAGTATATCATAATACGTACATAGGTATGTATATACGTATCTAAGAGCCAACACCATAAAAATTCTGTATCTCTCTTCTTTTTACATGTTTTTTTTTTTGTTCTTTTTACTCGTAGCCGTTAAATTATTTATTATTTCTAATACCTTGTGCTTTCTGGAAATAAGCCAGACGTCAATAACCATCTCGAAGATTGCACATACTAAAGCCAGTGCCGAGCCAACAGCAAGTAGAATGAACACTCCTCCCACGTTAGCTAGAACTAATGGTTGGCTTTCACCGCTGCCTGCATCGTCATCCTGTACAACAGGATCGAGAGTTATTAATTGGTATACAGTATCGATAGTGGATCTAGTTATTAATGTTATAGATTCAAAGATTACACCGGAGCAAAAATAATATTTTGTTCTTGCTGTTATAGAAACGAAAAAGTACATATGTATTTATAACTCAAAGGAGTTTCGTTTCACAATTTTGCCACTAAACCTTAGAGCCTGAATTATAGGGATTGAAAAAGTTTTAAGTTTATACGTATAGAAACAGTTCAAACTAGATATGTATAATGCCTTAATAAATTTATTATTTTAACGTTTATTTTTAAAGTTTGACGTACATAATATGTTGTGGGGAAATAAGAGTATTACCATAAGAATAAACAGTCCTTATTCCGTTAATCCTTAGTCTTTATGTGATATGACAAAAATCCTATTAGAATTATTTTAGAAATTCTGTAAAATTGTATATTGACGAATACTTTTATATAGTAGTTATTATTATGTATTTCAATTGTAGTTTTTAGAACCCCTCTGTTACTGTTATCTGTAATATGTTACTAGCTGCATTCAGCAGCATAAATCAAAATATTATAATATTATTCAAATCCATTCGATAGTTTTTGCATGAAAATTCACAAATATCTATCCTAATCCATCCGTTGATAGAAATTTTTACATTTATAATATTATTAGAATACATTTTAAAATTGAAATTATCAGCATCCTTTTAATCTCTCCCTTAAATTTCTTATTTATTCTATCTTACATATTATAATTATCTGAAAACTATCGAAGAGTTTACCGTATCAAAAGTGAAATTAGAATCACTAATAGAACTGAGTAGTCCGATTTAATGTAGTAATAAATTATGCGATATAATGCAATATTAATGGCCTCATCAAATGTAGGTTTACGCTTTTGTAATGGCACAATTTGTTATTTGTTCATTGTAGTGATAAAACGCAGATATATTTGTATATCCATTAAGCTTAAAGAGGCTACAAAAGGTCAATAAACCAGTTTATTGATTTGAAACAAACACGCTGAACAATATATTTTATGAATCGTTACAAGCTCTAAGATGTAGTTTATTATTTTTAATGTTGTATATTCATTTTTTAACGATGTCTGCACGAGCAATACGATGATGATGATGTATCAATGTAAATGATGTACAAGGCGAAAATACTCGTACTGTACATACTCTGAAGAAAAATTCCGGATGAAGTCAAAACAATTTTTTTTTATACAACTTGCAATAGCAAACAAGCTGACGGCCCACCTGATGGAAAGTAGTGGTAACCGTCGCCTATAGACATGAGCATTACCATGGACATAACAGAGTAGGTATACTGTTTTGCCCATGATACCTCCCCATGCGTTGCCAGTCCTGAGGACTCAGATGTTATTCTTCTGTACCCTGTAAATTCACGCCATATCTCATCCTTCAAACCGAAACACAGTCATGCAAAGACAACTGCTTCACGGTAGAAACACGAATGGGACAGAGGTACCCAAGCAATCGACTCTTGTACAAAGTCTCCCTCTGGGTTGAAAACGTAGTAAGTTTATAAAAATTCTCATTACACATACATAATTATACATATAATTTTTATTTATTAATTAATAATATAGAAATAAGCAGACTTAATAGTTTATTTTGCTATGCAGTCACGGCATAGAATGGATGACCCCTTCCCGTGGGTGTCATAAGCGACGACAAACTTAATGCCCTAGAGATAGTAGAGATAGGCGGCAATGTCCTTATTTAAACTTCACCAAAGTCTAACTACAATTACCAACTCACCTACCAAGCGTAGTAACTACTGGTAACTCCCTCCCCCCCCCCCAGTGGACAATTAACGGCTGATATGATGATAATGATGATAATTAATTGTCAAATTATAATGCTCTTACCGTACACGCGCCGCCTCCTCTCTTCTCTCTCCACCACTTATCTTTCATTCTTGTCAATTTGCCTTCTTCCTGTAACTGCAGTATTGACTCACTCATAGGTTGCCGATATGGAGAATCTAAAAAAATTGAATCATTACATCTAAAATTATATATCATATAAAAAAAAAACTACATGTTATAGCTGACTTATCATTGCCTAGCCTAAATTAGTTAAAATTTAAATCATAAAAAGGTGTAAACACAGAAACACTTTATACTGTAGGCATCTTGAAAGAATGCAATACATAGACTTTTAAATTTAAGTACTTCAAAATTCAAACTTTAACGCAGTTTTAGGATACAATAGGGCTGATATATAAGAAGAAGGTAAAGGCCCTTAAAATAAAGAAAATAATTCAAGTGAAATATGATGTAAGAAGTACGAGTATTTTATTAAATCAACTTGCACAGACTAAGTTCACTGTGCAAACTATACCGTTTATTGAATTATGGACATGGTTCTACAAATATTACAAATGTAAAAGTTTTTAAAGAAGTTTGGATTTTTAGATGTTTGTTTCTTATTCACGTTTATACAGCTGAATGAGTTTGAATAAAATTTGGTATATATCCATTCTAGGTACAGATATGTAGATTACTTTATATCCTAATCAGAGAGAAACAAAAAAATGATATCAGTAGCCACTCATGTAAATAAAATGAAAATTTTCTTTTTAAATTATACACATAGTATAATATCTATTAGGATTTAAGAGAGCGCTTAGTGAAAATTTTCTATTAAAAGCTTATGTTGTCGAACTTTCATTGTATTCTGTCACACGATCCATCGTAGCGAGATACTTTAGAAGCATTACATTCATGTTGTTTTTTTATTTAATGATGATGATATGCTAATCCTGCTTCCAGTTGGCAAATGCTAACAAGGCACCAATGAGGAAAACTTATTGTAATGAATACACCTAGAATTCAACAGGATGGTTTCCAGGACGATCGCGGGGACTATCAGTCTCATTGATATTGATATATATATATATATATATATATATATATATATATATATATATATATATATATATATATATATATATATATATATATATATATATATATATATATAAGTATGTATATGATTGTCATCGTATACCTACTTATTCTCTAACGATGTGGCATTATTGCCACATCGTTAGAGTTTAAGGATTTCTTATTACTTATCGTAATTGTCACCTTAACAAAATTAAATGAAACATATTCACATACTCTTTTTCATTGCGATACCATAGCCTTTGCTGTCCAATAGTCCGCCTACTTGCGCTACATCGCAGTTCCTTTCCACCATGTACTCTATTGAAGTGGACTCCATCAGAAACGCATAATTCTCGTCCTCTGACTTCACCCTGAAATATAGTTTCAGTACTTGCATTAAAGTATCTTGAGATGTTTCATAAAATGTTTAATCATTCCAGATGATAGGAAATAAAATTATAATGCTTATTGGTTTACAATAAAATTTTGAATCTTTTAATATCTACTTTGTAATAAATTTTACAATTCTGTTTCAGTACTGTCTATTACAATGTTGTCTTAAGTTGTCATTTTATATAACTTTATAACAAGAATTAAATTTTGTTTTATACTACGTCACAGTAACAATTTGTATGTGTAACTACAAATGGGAGTAATTTTAGTAATAGATTATTTAATGTATTAGTTACCTTTCAAGACCTTCGTCATTAGTCGCTGTTTGATATTCCGGATGTTCATCCATATATTTAAACATTTTTTGATAAATTATGTTATCTGAATCCTACAAACAAATATTACATTAACATATAAACCACTGTTCATTGGATGAATAAAGTTTTTTTAAAGAACATATTCTCTTACTCTTTAAGGTACACAGCAATTATAAAACATCAAATGTTTCATTAGACTTTTTTGCCTTTATTTTCATAATTATGTACAAAAATTTATAAGCAAATTGATAATACAAAAAAATTAAAAAATATAGAAATTAAGATATGACAATAATTTATTCTTTTATGAATGTTTTATCATGTCAATTTTCATACTAAGTCTAGCTTCCAGTTGAGTAGTAAATATACGAGTATAGAAACCATTAGCCGATTCAGTTCAAGTTATTCTTTTCTTACCTTAAAGAAACTAAAGGTCGCTCCTCCTTTTTTAGCACCATAATTAATTTCATAAGGATTATTAGATAAATCAGCTACAGATTTAATGGCATAAAACTTCGACTCTACAGTGAGGAACGCAGCAAGATTGGCTGTATAGGAAGATACCATAATTAATGTGAAAAACCACCACATACTACCAGCCATGCGCGTCGATACTGCTCTGCAATCAAATAATGAAAAGATAATCTAATGAGTGTTATTCTAATATTTATAAGAATTAATATTATCTAATAATAATCTAATAGAAGATATAATAAGATACAAGCATAAGAATCTAAAACTATGTAAGAATACACGCACGACTACAATAGAGCAAAAATTATTGTACTGTATTTTATTAAAAAATATTTTTTTTTAATAAAATACACTACAATATTATGCTGTAACTATAATAAAATCCGATTTTTTCCAAATGGAAAACAATTCTATTTTTAGGAATCCGTACTTTAAAAGATAAAACGGAACCCTACATTGAAATGAACGAATTGAACGAATCGCTTCATTGTCCGTCTGTCTGCCTATCTAATAAGACATATTTTTCTTAGGAACATGTGGAGCTATTAAGCTGAACTTAATATCAAATACTCAATTCAAAATTTTGAAAAAGACTATATAAATGTGTATAATAAATATATTATTTATTTTTTATTTATTTATTTATTTACAATTTGTGTATGTTTGTTTTATTTACATTATTTTTACCTGTACCTTCCTGTTCCTGCACTAGATTACCCGCCAATTAATTATTTTCTCTCTAGCTGCACTGGGTTGGCTGGAAGAGTTCTCTTTTAAAAATGTCCCACTCTTGCCAACAAGTTGTTAAAATAATCTCTGTATCTTTTGTTCATGTGCAATAAAGAATATATATTCAAAATCAAACTCCTAATACATATTCGATACATTATTTGTACGTATATATTAACATTTGCAAGAGAATTAAAATACTCGTATATAGGGTACTTTCCGTTGGCCTAAAATCATGAAATTTGGTACGAAGCAATATCGTATAACACAAGTAGAGAGAAAAATCTGAAAATCGTAAATTTGTAGTAATATCACAAAAAAGAATTGCAAAATATTTTGTTTTCTTCTATAATTTGTCAGAATGCTCGATAAGAGAGTCTTTTAATATGAGATGATTTTAATTAAACATGTTTTAACTGTTGTAAAAATGGCCTTTATTTATATAGCAAGAAAACAGTCAAAAGAATCTCAACCACGTTACATTAATAAAATTTATAAATAGATACCGTAAGTACCTCACTCTTTATAAAACCAAATTTAACATATTTTCCTTACTTAAAAGACCTTTTTGTTGATAGCAAATTTTTCTTTCGTGACAAAATAATTTGCAAATATTCATCGCCAATGCTGTTTTCGCCAATCATCTAACCTTTTTCCGACATCAATTTCCTGTAGGAAGTCCGAGTCGAAATTTAACCGAATCCAAGTATAGGCACTTTCCGTTTATTCGAGATAACAAATAAGCATATAAAATAGTTGCGGTGTCTATTTGAATGGGATATCTGTAAATCGTACTGTTTTGTTTTTGTCTTATAGTCTGATAACATAAACGTATTTAGAAAATATCTATTTATTTATTCTTTATTGCACAATAAAACTTTGTACAAATGGCGAGCTTAATACCATATAACATTTTCTGCCAGCTTACCATTAGGAAAAAAACAAAATGCGTATGAAGGGCAGATGCGGTGAAAAATATGTGACATAATTATAATAACATACTGAAATAATTATACATAATGATAAATAAGAAATACACATAAATACTACTTATAATATATATGGTTATACTAATATAAATCTAATAATATAAACTAATATAATATTATAATATAAAATATCATCATCATTTGTTACTTACATTGGAGCAATCTCCGATCCCTGAGTAAGCACACTGCCTAGTGTGAACCAAAATGAATTTGCCAATGTAAACTGATTGTCCAAAGTCTCTGGCTCTTCGATACATGGATACGGGTTTTGCCATTCATCGGGAGCTATTCTGCCTAATATAAATAAAAGTACTGATACACCGACAAATGTTCCACCAAGCGATTTCCAAACCTTGAAGAAAAATTAATTGGTTTTAATTATAATGACTAAAATTGTTAATTTCCATATAATCTTTGTCTACTATAAGTTAATAAATACCTCCATAGAAAAAGGTGATATGAAGGAGAACAAGTTCGGCGGTTGCTTCGTAGGTTTCTTGTATAATATAGTTATACCTAAGTTCATAAAGGGACTAGTAAAGTCCACAGCTTTTTGTCTAGATGAAGTGATTGTAAGGTCTGTTATTGCAAAATCAGCTCTCTGTAATAGGCAATCACTTAATTAGCAATATTTATACTTAATGCATCAAGAAGAGATTTTCTAACTTGAAAGCTAGAGGAAATATTAAAGCTGTATACTCGTACAATTTTAATAAAATATTATTAACTAATAGTTTTTAGTATTGTTAAATAATACGAAATTTACCCCATCCATTATCTTCTCTATCATTCCTGTCCATTTTTTTGTTTTAGAATCTAATGAACCATACACACCATCAGCTTGTATATCAAAAGTGTAGTTGAACTCGTTCATTTTTGCTAGCTCCTCAATCAGTTCTATACCGAAGCCTTCGTACCGATTATTCCCTTCTAATTTATTTGATGATTCTTTCAACATTCCATAAGGTGCGCTCTGTAAATAAAATAAATTTCATTAATCAAAATCTTTACTAGTATTATATATTTATTATAATGTATTCATGTACATAAAATAGAGTTGAAACAATGTTCTTATGATGAGTAAGTACTTGAAACCCTGTTTGGGTGTAGCAAAATTATATTGATAGGTAACATTTATTTTACGTTGCATTTAGCGTGCATTAATGTCAATTTAGATTAAAGAAAAAAAAACAATAATTTAAAATATCATAAAAATAATTTGAAGTCAGTCTAGTTATTTAGGTATATAATAGTTTTGTCAATCTGATTAATTATTTGTAAGTCATGTGTGATTGATATTATAAGCATGTAAGTATGATTTCTTGTTTGTTTAAGTTGTACCTCATAGTCAATCTCTATGAAATTTAATATACGCGTATAGGCGACTTTTTATCCTGGTCAGTGAACATATCTCAAACACGAGCGAAGTCGCATTTTAAAAATATCCATTAGTAATTAAAGGTACTAAAATACTTACCAGAGCAGTGAGAACAATAAAATGTTTTCCTTTCATTGAATCAGATCCCTCTGCTTCGGCTGGTGGTATTACTATTCTTGTGTTGACATATCCGTCTTCTGCATTCCACGAACCGACCTATTATATATAGTATAATTATTTACTATGTATTTGTTTATAAAATTTCACAATACCGATTATAAATGTAATATGTTTCTTAAGTTAATTAAAAGTATTTTAAAATTAAGAATGTTATACCTTTTCAAGACCATGAGCCTGTACTTCTATTATATCAACTTCGAAATCAGAACGAAAGCCTTCTTCGTCGAACTTAACAACGCCTGTTAAACCATTTATTTCCATCTGTAAATATATCAAACCTGTATTACTATTTGATAATTATCATTAAATTATTTAATTTTATCTTTAAATTACATACTTTTCTAAAGGAAATGGATGAAATCGTGCGTTTTCTCTTAAAAGCTGCTTAAATAAAAAAAAGAATCCGCTAAATCCGCGGATTCTTTTACAAAAAAATTTTTCTTATACAAAACATTACATCGTGTAAGGCAATCTGTGATATGGTTCATTAAAAAAAAAACCTTGCAAACGTAATTCCAAATTTTGCAAAGCATCAATACATAGAACTTATAATGATTGATATAATTTAATATATACGATCTATGATATAATTTTATAAGAAAATATCATAGAATGTTTACTTACGGCTTTTATATAATTTATAATGCTTGATCCTAAACTCCAGCTATCTACTGATTCACATGTAACATTAGCAGGCTCTTCTAATCCCATGGCATTAAGTGCAGTTGTATATAATATTACAGCATCATAAAGTAATACTAGATCAAGAGTAATTGCATTATCTGCGATAGCATTTGTAATCTGTCCCTCAGATAACTCTTCAACTTTCTCATTTAAAGATACGACATAGTTTTGAATTTCTTCTAAAGTAGGATCAAAAAATCTAATTCCTGAAATAATAATCATATACAACATATTTCTATTACATTCTCATTACTACAAAAAAAAAAAAAAACTATGAGCACTTTTATATTTGCTGCAAAAGTACCTGTAATGTTGGAACCTCCGTGCTTGTAAGGCTCAATGTCAATTGTTTGGAAGTCGGGATTCATTATGATATAACTATGGTCATCCGACATAATTCCAACCTGCTGAGCTTGCTCCAAGAACTGTGGTAGAGTCTCTTTACGACAATATACTATGTAATTAACGGAACCAGATGCTTTTACATTTTTCAATTGGATTCTGAAATAATTTTTCATTATTTTTATTATACAACACAAGTAATTACTTTCAAAAACATTGAATAATACAAATTAAATATAATTTGTAAATACCGATAATCATCTCCATCTGGTAATTGTACAACTCTCATCAAAATATGTTCTCCTGAATCTAAATCTTGCATTGTAAGTATATTATCCAAAAATGACAGCAGTTCTGCACCTTCATAAATTACCGTAAATTCTGTCCAACCTTTCATTTCAATAATATCTAAGAAAACCTAAAAGATTGAAAACTTTTGCATTACATATTACTTTGAACGATTGATTCTGTGAATAAATTACTCAAAAGCATTACCTGAGAGTAAGCGAAATGATTGGGATATAAATTGACTACCGACCAGTTGCGATTTTGCGTTTCCATTGGTTCAATTGTAATATGTGGAATATCAAGGTAATCAGCAATAGATTGAATACTTCCTATATTACTTTTAGATTTTGGTCCAAATATTCCAAAAACATTAGTCTGAAATCACATTTTTATGTTTTTAATCTCTTACTTTTTCGATTTTAAACTATGTATACTCAAATAGTTCACACTACTTCAATTTAACTTTAATTTACTATTAAATTTATTTCTATTTTTTTTTTTGATACAATATATTTTTATTTTATTTGGCTTTTTAATATAAAACATACCTAAGCAATAATCAGCAAACAAGGCCGTGTGGTCCCGGCATAGAATAAGCTACATGTTTCTATCCCGTAGGTGTCGTAAAAGGCAACTAAGGGAGAGCATGGGATAGGCAGCGACGTCCCTCTTAAAACATCTCTAAAGCTAACTACGGTTTCCAATCTGCCTGCCAAGCGTGGCAACTACTGGCAAAACTTCCAAGCGGGAGACATATCTTCAGCAGTGGATAGTTAAAGGCTGCTATGTTCACATTAATTTCACATTTTCACATCTATTGTTAAAAATGGCCTATGCCCCTTGCATGACTATTTAACTGTAATAACTTTTATCATTTTAAATAGGAATAATATATTTGTTAAAACTGTTTCTTTTTTAATACATAGATTAACTTCTTTTTTATAGGTACGAGTTTATTGGAATAGCACCATATATGGAAATCATTTACATACACATGCGTACATCATCATCGCCTATATCATACTTGATGAGGGGTATATCTTCGTCCCATTATTGGGTAAATTGTTCATAGTATTGTATTAAATGATTATTATTTTTCTGGACAAAAAGCTTGGTATAATGTTTTATTTCAAGATTTTTCAAAACATATATAAATGTAAATGATAAATATTTTAAATATTTACCTCCAATATAGAACACATTGCTTCTTCTGCTTCTAACAAATCGTCCGGAGATGTTCGTACGACATTTGCTACAAATGGATTTTCTTGTCCGTCTGATGCAGTAGCGACAGCCAAAGTGAAAGCGGCTTCTAACAAAAAGCCACCATCATCAAATACTGCACCTATATACATTAAATAACTTATATTTCTTGATATATGTCGAATAAAATTAGAAAAAAAATCTAATTTCTTTTCTAATTTATAACTAGCCTGCGTTGGACTTTAGTGGAAATTTTAAAAAATCCTTTCCTAGCGGCTGCTTACGTTATAAAATATGTAAGTCTATTTTACAAATTTCAGCTTTCTAGACTTAGTTTTTTTTTATAGACGATTTTATAAGTATAAATAATATTTAAACTATAATATGTACTTATTCTTATGTAATGCTTAGCTCAAAAACAGTGTATAATATGAAATTTAATATAATATTATAATAAAGATTTTTTAAATGGAGTATAACGATAGCGAAGTTTTCAGTTATTTATACTTTTTATATAATTAAAATATTAAACAGTATTTAAAACCATTACCTTCATAATACTCATAGTATGTAATTGTAAAAAATTGTTATATCTATTAGGCTACATGCTATCAATTCAATTCTTAGTATTAACTGTAATAATACTCTTTATATTTAAAGTAATCTCGCAATTTGTAAAATAAATACTTACCAATAGTTCTGTTCCCGTGGACATACAACAAGGAGAAAGTCACGAAGCATTGCAAGAATAAATGAAATTTCAATCCCATTGATAATATAATTGAATTGTACGTGACTTTTTACTACTAGGGGATTATCTAGTTTTTCACAATCATATATATCACTGATTCCTGTAAATAATTAAATGCGTTCTATCTGATATGTACTCGTATAATATGGTAAGAGCTATTTTCTAGCGCGACTCTAATGCAATTTTTGTCTCGATCACGACTGCATGGCGGGAGTCAGAAATAGCTTGTTCTCAATTGCATTTGGGCTAGCTGTTATATATTAGTGTTTTCATACTATATTATATTTAAGCCACAATCGAAAAATACAATTATACAAAGTGAAATCAAAATCATAAGCTTTCCATAAAAAATATAGATAAAAATGACAAAAACTTGATTGTCTCGAGTTATTTGACCGCTGAGCATGGCGTTCAATCTTTAAGAATACTGATTAGTTTCCCTGATGCAATACTCCTAAAAAGGGTGGAAGAGATAATTTGTAAAGGGGACTATCAATCACAATAGTAATATATCCAGTCGGAACAAATTCCACGTGAGCCTTCCTTGCAAACTGGATAAATCTATCACGATGTGCTAACTGACCTAATTTCTTCACCTTCACTAATCACCCCTTACGCTTATTTCGATTTCACCTGTATTCTTACATAAAAATAATATTAAAATGTGAACATTATTATCATCATCAAGACTGTAAATTCTTAATAATATTTTGTATGTGAAAGTGTTTGTTTTGTTTGCTTACCCTCTTAACTCTTGAATGCCTTTATCACTAAGTAAGTACTAAGAAATAATTACCTAGTAAGTAGTAGTTTTTTAGATGATAATGGAATGGTTACCCCGCCTGCGTTATCGGTATACACTGGCGGGGTACCAGTGAGGGATGATAGGTGAGGATGAAAACAGGTTAGTTAGCTAATAGTGACAAATTCTACAATAAGTAAATCACAATTGTTTTCAGGGAGAACCGCGTGGAGGTCAACCTATTAGAGTATATTGCTAGCAATGGGATTGCTAATCTCCAATACTAACAATCACTTCCCCCCCCCCCCACCCCACTGGGGAGTAAGTAGTAGTTAGTAGTAGTAAATATACTATATTCAATTTGTACATAATAATAATGTAAATAACACAAATGATTTTTGTTGGAATATTATTTTGTAGATACTGCCCTCTTTTGTGAAATATTATAACAGCAAAAGGCATTTATAAGAGCTTGTTGTATTTTAGTTTTAATTCAGCAGCTAACCTTTCATGCTTTTTAGGACGTAACCTTCTGTAAAGGAACGATAGATGGAGCTTTTTAAGTATAAACTACTCGTAAATTTAAAAGCAAATAATTTGAAATATAAGCACAGATATTATAAGTATGGGCTAAACTATGTATATATGTGTGTTTTAGTTTAAAATACTGTCTTCCTACTGAAAATATAAAAAACGAATCCGTCGCAGGACATGAAAAGAGTATCGTATATCAACAATATATTTTTGACAGACTTCAAAAAGTTTATATTTTTTATGTTTATAACCTCATAATTCAGTCAGTTCTAAACCGATTTGAAAAATTCGTTTTTATCTGAAAGAATATACTTATAGATTAGTCTCATAGGTATTTTATCGAAACGGGTTCAATAGTTTAGGTTTTAAATCACTGACTTTTAATAATTGATTTTGTCACCATTGAAATCGGTTTTTTTGTAGGTCACAATCTTTAATTACGTTTATATATATCTCTTAAATATTTTTTTCTACTTCGACTATGTTCCTTCTGCTTTAACTGCTTCCTTAGGTAGTAAAAAAATATTAAATAATATTTTTTTACTATTATTATATTTATATATTTAGTGCTGTTACGGATAGTACAAAATAAACAATAGACAATCAGTTTAACTGGATACCTAGAGATTTTATTGAATATTTTCTCATTCCTGAATGCAGCAAGCTACCAAAAAAGCTATCAAAAAATTCATGCATGAGCCATAACCCCATTTATTTTATCTTAATAACATATTACATATATTTTTATTAATAACTACTTGAGTAATTTAAAAAATAATACTTAATAAGAATCTCCTTATGTCAATTGCTATAGATCTTGCATAAAACATAAAACACTGACGGGCTAATCTTTTACATTACAAAACAAATCCCCGCGAGATGAACAAAGAAATAGATTTACGGGTACAGTGACACGTTGGCAAATGTTGTAAAAACATTGATTAATGAAAGGGGAGTTGGTACCTACCGCAACATAAACAAAACGTTTGACTTTGGCCCGGTGGGCGGTAAATAAACCTCCACCCAACCATATACCCCACTTAACTTTGATGTTTTTGCAACATGTTTGCTTTTGGCATGTTGAAATGGCAACATACCTAATAAGAGAAAAATAATCTCATTTTGAATTTTGATTCGTTTAAATACACGCAAGCTGAGCCACGAAAATCGAGATTATTATGTCTATTTATTCACTTGATTTTATTATATATGCAGTCATAATCAATGTACCCTAAAGTATTTCGTTTATGCATTATGTCATATCTCTTAAAAACTGTTTTTTAAGAAAAGGGTATTTGTTAACAATATATGATTAGGTGCTTAATTTTACTTTTACTTACATTATTATTTATTTTAATTATTGTGCATAAAAAAATAGTGATTCATATTATATACGACTAAAAAATGGTACCTATAATTACTTATATAATATCAAAACTATATTTAGGAGTTTTAAGTGATATGTTAATAATATTATTGCAAATGAAATCTATTAAGGAACAGCATTAAAATGTTCTAATATTATCTAAAGAATACCAAAACTTATCCCCTGTGAGAGTTTCCACATTCGGATCGCGTCGTAAACTTGAAAATTGGACGTTTTGTTTGTAACAGAGCCTCTCGTGGCGCCCCTAAATTGCGACATGGAGGCCACTATGCGACAATATATTGCCTTCTTATCATATTACAAGCTTTGTAACATGTTCATTTCGTACGGTATTTTCATACCTATAACACAGATAATATAATATCTACTACAAATACTACACATATTATGGTTATATCTGTACATAATGTATAACCAAAGTGCCAAAAATGTATGACCCATCATCTTATGGTAACCGACCTGCGGATACTATTTGCAAGATTTAAACTACAAAACAATTAGTAAAGTGAAAATAACTGATAACAAAGTTAATTACGTTGTAAGTATTTATGCTCTGTATTATTGCATTCTAAAATTACGAGCATTTCTCAAATAACGCTTAATTTAATTAAGACAACAAATCTTAGAAGATATTTGTTATTGTCTCTACCAATATTTGAAAAAACAATTACTTTACTCATATTTCTTAAATTTTTAAATAATGGTAAAGAATAAAAAAAAATTATACTAATCGAAATTTTGCCAACATCATTTTCATTCATCGGCTTGATGTAGAATTTTTACCGAGTTTTGCTTCTTTTGTACTAATGTATTGTATTTTGTTCCTCTATACGGCTCTTACAGCATCCTATCCTAAGAAATACTACATAATGCATTGTATCTTTATTATAAGCTTTACAGAGAAATCCATTTAAGTAATCTAAATTTAAAAAGATGTATTATTTATTCCTGTAATACTTTCCGTTTAATTGAATGTGTACGAAATAATACGTAATACTATACCTTAATGCATTTTTCATTAAAATTTTTATAGCAGTATAAATATGGTATAGTATATTAACAAAATATTTGTGTCTTAAAAAGTAACTAATTGAGCACAAAATATAGTACAGGTTAACATCTTGAAAGTTTTTTTTTATTGTTTTAATAGAAAACAATAATTTAACAAGACACAATAGTGCCAATGTACCTTAAAACAGCATACTATTTTGTACCATGATCATAGTGAGTAGTGGACAAATAAAAGCCAATATAGAATTGATATCATGTTACATTAGTTTTCTATATTTCTCATAGTTATATAATTCACGTTTAACAATTTAAACTGAATTGAATAAAAATATATTAATCAGTGACATTTTTTATCTCTTCATTCTGAGCTAAATATATTCTTCTTTTATATTATACATATTTTTGTCTTAATCAATCTCATAGTTTGTATAAAAAATAGTTTTGCTTCCTATGTATTAATATTAAGAAAATCTAGATAATTTGTAATAACATAAATAGTTGAAATATTTAGACTCACAAGTTGAAACATTCAAATAAACATAAACAAAGTTATTACCGTCGTAAGTGGAATACAATAGCTTGTTATATATGTATTTGTAAACTTCTAATATTTAGACATTTCAGAAATAAAATAAAATTCTCTCTTAGAATTAATTTAATTAGACATTTTTTTTTACTATCTGCCATGGATATAAATTAAATTTTCTTTCTCCGTCCATTACCAATTCTTTAGAGATTTTTGTATAGACTTGATTAGCAGACAATGGTATTGTTGAAGATGAGTGGTTGTAACTGGTGTCATTTGTTTGTCATATTTGACTGTGAAGGGCTCTTACTTTCGCTGCTGGTGTCTGATGTACCTTGATTGTGGTCGAGATTTGTGTAAATCAAGATACAACATTACCACAATTTACCTTTTTATTCATATAATAAAAGAAAAAAATTATGTTTTGCAAAAATTCAAATAGCATATCGAAAACGCCAATGCTGTTAAAGTAACTCCCTAAATCAGCATGTTATTAGGAGCTTCGTGTTTATTTATCAAGAGAGTAATAAAAAATATAAAACTTTCTAAGACGAAAATGTACAGCCATATTACTTCTAAACAGTGAGAAATTCCCGCCTGCAATTAATTTTATATTGATCACTTTTCTCTAAACATCAACCTACTATAGATAATCATCGATAAAAAGAGTGAAAACATTTTAAAAACTTCACATAATCAAGGTGTATGGTAGAATCAGGGTACAGTAACTTCGCCTATTATTTATAATTACAAGAAAGAATAATTAAAGAACCGTTTTTTTTTTATTTAAAACAGACAAAATGCATTCATATTAATTCAAAATATGTTTCTAGAACGATAATTTATAAAAGTGAAAGGGCACCTAACTACTTTTGAGGTAATATGTGTCTAAGTTAATATTATACTTAACGATCCTTTAACAAAGGCTTTTCTAGTGAAATATAAAATTAAAAACAGTTATGGATAAATCGAACGGGAAAGGTCAACAGGACATATGTTGTTGGTTTACATACAAATGTCTT